TTATTGTTTGCTCAATTCAATGCATGCTCATGTTTAATGCGTGTTCATATTCAATGAAAAACACGCAGATAAAACTAAATAAACACATGTACATATTGAATATGCCTTACTCTCTGATTAGATGTGTGTATCTGCTTGTATGTGTACGAGTATGTATTTGTTTTGTTATACATGGCCTGACATTTGGCCAATTAATATAGAAATTAATTAAAATGTTCTATGCCATAGGAATTGACTTGCCTGTTGACCTAAAGGCTAATGAAGTAATCGCTTTACTTTCACACACGCAATCAATATGTGTGTGTGTAATACCAAATAGACTAAGCTTTTGTTATTGGCATGTTAGTATGTAAATCACATTTTCTTGACATTAATCACAAGTCAACTCAAATGCGAAGCCAACTTTCTTGATCCCGACATTCTCTGCCACTTTTCACTCAAGGCAGGTACAGTGAAAATTCGTGAAAATGCACAGGAAGTAACAGTAAGCCATACTTACTGTTGAAATAAGAAATCTTCTTAATGATTTGTGAAACTAAAAAGCTTCAATTTTATTATAATTTGAAGTCCTGAAATCGTAAACCTATCTAATTAATTATTAAAACAAAATCGCTATATATATATTTCTATTTATAATAAGCAGCCTTCTTTTTCTTTTACCACCAGTAATTTTTTACAAATCAAAATTAAATAATTTTTTATTGCATACTATTTGCTTCAAATTCAAATCAATTAAATTGTCAATATTTGTTTTTGTTTCAAATACTTTTATGCAAATACGAAGCAATCGTTTATTTGTTTTTAAACTAGGAAGTTTTTTTAAAAAGACGCATAACAACATCTTTTTAAACTCTGTTTTAGTCTGGAAATGTGTTTATCAATGTAACATTGGTATAGAGATTTCCAGAGTACGGCAAGAAATAGTTTCTGCAAATAAATTTAAGCACAAATGGCAATTCATTTATATTAATGTGTGTGGAATATTAACTCTTAGCTGCTCGCTGTTGCTAATGAATGAATGCGGTTATTGAACTCTATTAATAAAATTAATTGATAATATGCAACTTAATATTTCTCGTTCTTTCTTCATTACAGAAATAAGAATGATATCATTATGAGGGACATAGCTATGCTTAAGGTCAAAAGAAATAGTTTTCTACGCAAAATTAAATACCAATCTGAAGTCCATTTATACAAAATATCTATCTATTCAGCATGCAAACAACAAATTTTGTAGCTTTGGAATAAAATAAAGTTTTATAATAGCTTTGTAAGTTTTCATAGTGAGTTGAATTTTAAGCTCAGGCACCACTTCGCTTAAAATGAAAACAAAAGAAACTGAGCTCAAGCCAATGAGCTCTGGCATGGCAAAGAATTTTTAATTCTATGGTTATTACATTGAAAAGCTTCTTAAATGCTTTGCAAACTGAAATAAAGGTAAATAAAATTTGTTTTTTGGATTAAAATCAATCTACTGGTATACAGTCGGAAAAGAGTTCATTTTTTTAATAATCATTCCCATATAAGTTCACTAAATCGAGCGGGTATTTAAAGCACACCCATTTGTATAACAAAGGGTCTAGCCATGGGGCATTAGACATCGGTTTTTTGTGGTTGTTTTCGCTGTTGCTACTTCTGTTGTTGCTGTTACCAGCTAAAACCTTTTTCGTAAGTCTTTAAGACATCCCTGGCAAAAAGTTTACAATGCTTGCCTTGTTGACCGTATAAAATAATTTTACCCTTTTTTAAAGTAATTTAACGCTTGGCAGGACTCGCACACCACACAACCGCCCAACCAGACACACATAACCATACTCTTGTTGTTCTGCTATTGATACGGACGTTTCTAACCGGCGGGCAACATTTCATGCCACTTATCAAAGGCAACAATTTAGGTTAAATACTCATTAATATTCCGGTCTGCAAAAGTTTTTGGCAAATAAATTTATGCCTGTAGCTCGAAGGCGAGTCGCAGACACGGCAGTCCAAAAATAAATAAGCGCACGCACACACACCGACACACACACACTCACATGCATAAATGTGGAAATTAATTTTGGGGCAAACGAGGCAGAAATACGTATGCGTGTGGGTCTGAGTATGTATATATCTTTTGTGGCATTGGGTTACTCGGTTGCTCGAAGCCTACGAAACAAGCAGAAGATACAGGCCAAGGCAGGCTATGAAAATGATAATTGCCCCAATGGCTCCAAATGAATAATGTATACATTATGGGAATGAAAACGCAAAAGAGAAAGGAGAAAAGTTAAACGCCAAAATCAAAAAATAACAGAACCAGCGAAAAATTGGCCCCCGTTTAATATTTGTAGCCCCTGTACGAATAAATAGATAGTTGGGAATGCGGAAAATCTCCATTGATTACTCTGGTGAATACATAGTCCACAATTCTACATAATTGCTAGCCCGATTGATGTATATTTTCTGCTAGTCTTGAGCTGAATATATCGAACAATTACTTGTTCTTCATTTAATTATTATAAAAGCACTCAAATTTCTAGTAATATGTCGCTTAGATTAAATGTCGTGGGGTCTGGTCCAGTCGAGTGTGTTGGTTTGAAAAGTTCAATTTTGTATTTTTCTTTGCTTCTTTTTATCTGAACCAAAAAAATGGTCGAATTTTTTTCTTTTGCATGCCAACACGTTGGGAAAAGTATTTAATTTGTTGTGAAAATTTGCACAACACGCATACATACATCCACACTCACACGCATACGCATTCCTTGTTCCTCATACTGTTCGCCACTAAAATGCCAATAAATTTTGCAATGGCGTGCAACAAATTTATTGCATACTTTTAAGCGTGCTTTATTTTTTTATGACAGAAATGCTGAGAGGCCCAACGAGCTTTGCCGGAAGAGTAGCTGTAGCTGCCATGGGATTTATTTATTTACTGGCATGACGCACGCTGCTCGTTTTTGCGGATTTTGTGCACTGATAACAATTTTCGACATGGCAAACGAGCGACGCGGCCGAGGAAGAGACAACAAAACGACAGGATATTATTCAATTGAATTCGTTTACATGCATGAACTACATAATAAAAATGCCCTTAACACAAACATTGGCAGGCAAGCAAAGAAAATACAACAGCGCACAAATTGAGCAACGGGCACCCGTCCTTTTAGTCAGTCATTCAGACTGTCAGTCAGTCAGTCAGTCCGACAAAGGCAAACAAAGTAAAAAATATATATGAAATATCTTCTCATCTCGTTGTTGTAGCTTTCTTTTTTCTTGTTTACATCTTTGTTGGTTAGTTGTGGCGGTTTGCGGATTGCAGGGCTGTATATTTACATGCGCTCTTATTGTTTTCGCCCCGTCACATACAGACATACAAACATACACACAAACAAGCAAACAAACATTCATAACGATAAGGATGTCTGTGCAATCATTTCGGAGCTTATTAAATGCGCATATTTTATGCAACATTGAAATGCCAGAGCAGTAACTAGCCAGAGGGAAGTTTCAGTTGCTACTTATGTGGTATATTAGCCATTTCTTGGGTACATTTCTAGACTAATTTGTTTCACTCTAGTTCTGCTAGTAATTCCCAAACTTTTCGCATTGCAACAGACCAAGTAAATGAAAGTTAAAGACAAAAGTTATCATTGAAAATTGCGGCAAACCACATTATTACTCATATTTAGTGGAAAATAGAAGTAAGCATAATTTGGAGCTACTTATTTTCTGTAAATATACAAATAGCTTTTGTTTGATTCGAAGGAAGCAAACGCTATGATTAATGAGAGTTCGTCTATTTCAATAGTTCAATAGTTTTCTAAGCTCATATCAATGCATATAAGTTTTGTTATAAATTCACGAGTGCACCAATAAGAAAACTTAAACTTCTTTTAAAAATTAAATTGTCTTGAGGTAACAAGCAAAAAGGGTCTTCAAATTTGTAAGCTGTTTGATTTTCAAAACTAAATAAGCATAAGCACTGAATTGGTCATTTTTTGTTTTCCGTCAACGTTTATTTTGTTTTATTCTTATAAAAATGCATTTTATATATTTTAAAATGCATTTAATTTATTCATGTGACACTATTTCTTAAAAGATGGTCACCAAAGTCTTTATACAGGCTTCAGTTTATAATTTTCGCTAAGCAAATTTTGTTCAACAAGTCCATTTCATTTTGAAATAAATTTTTCCCCTCGAACTAACACTTCTTGATTTAATGTACTTTTCTTTTATTTGTGAACAAATTTTGTATTAAATTTATGGCTCATTTATAAGTGGTTTGTTTTACAAATATTTTTGTGCTATAAGTGCAGAGGGTATTAAGTTTATTTTAAGCTCCGGCATAACCAAACACTTCTAAAGCGATTCTTTTAAAAATATCTTTAATTTCCGTTGTGCAGGTTTTAATAAAAAGACGGTTAAAGATTGCCTTCGTTCGTTAAAGAATTTTAAACGATTTTACAATAACGCTAGTTCAAACTACATACCCAATGCAGGAAATGTTTAAAATTTTAAGTCGGTCTAATTATTTACCACACGCTTTGATTATCAATTGCAAGCAAGCACTTCTATTTCTTTATTGATGCAAAAGAAAAAAAACTTTGTAGAGCTGTATCGCATTCAAGCAGACTATATATCGAGACTATTCAACTGTATGTGTCGATAATGATGATGATCTGTGCTATGATTTATGTCACTGTGCACGCACATACTTTATAGAACAGCACAACTAAAATGCAACTCATTATAGGGCGTATATGCTCATGTAAATATGTGCATGTATATGTGTTCTTTTACATGTAATGTGCTCAGCACATTTCTATGGAATATATTTTTGCAAGGCAGTGGCGCAGAATCACTTGAACAAAAATGCAAACTGCACTTCAGCAGCCGCACATGGCAGGCACTGCATAAACAGCAATCACACACGCATACATACATATGCAGACATTCCATATATACACATACACTTACTGTTTATATGTATGTAGGTACGGGTGTATACTCTGTGTGCTTACCTTGTGCATACGTCCACTTCAGCAGGAAAACGATGAATACGAAACGTAAATCCATTTTACAATTTTTTACAGTATTTCGCCTTAAGATAAAATGGCTAAAAAAGCGTAGCAAAAGCAGTTATTTGCTATTCACCCACCCACACACAAACAAGCACACAACATACACCTATAGACACACACAATCAATGTGTGTGTGGGCATGTGATGGGTGTGTGTGTGTGTGTGTGTTTATCGTCGTCCGGCGGGTTCTATTTTATGCGAGCAGTTTCTTCTTTCAGCTCTTGTGCAATTTGTGGTCCACAATCTCAACTCACGTTCTGGGAATTGCAAGCTGGGACAATTTTCTTTAAACTTGGCCGACTCTTTATGCTTCGCCTTTTACTTTTATTTTATTTGTATTATTTTTTTGGTTTGGTTGTCTACAATTGCCGTTGCATTGGTCATGCCGCTTCTTGCGAGCGTCGCCAAAGCCTTTGTTGTTTTTGCTCAGTGTTTGGCCGGCGCAGCATTTTATATACCATTTATTTTGCACACTCACATAAAGAATTTAATATATGTATGTACGCTTAAACTGCTTGACGTTTGCTCTTTATTGTGAACAGGCGACGACGACGCCGTCAGCCACTTTACTTAAATACTTCCGTTTCCGTTTTAACGCAAAATACACTTAAACACATGGCGCAACAATGTTGATGTTCCTATATTATTGTTGTTGTTTCTTCTGGCTGCTGGGACTTTAAGCCGCATGTTGCTGGCACAAATCAATTAGCACAACTTAATGGCCGAACAATTAATTGCCAAGCGCAACGCCCGAAAGTATGTAACGAAAATCAACCGAAAGCCGACAATGTTGTACGTGTGGCATGTAAATCGTTAAATCAACTCCATTCACGCACGCACGCACCCACGACCCCACTCACTCGCTCACCCACTCACTGTCCAGCTGTCTCAGTGAATCGAGATGAGGAGCATTGGCACCTTATCTGCACAGAATTTGTTTGTTTATACTTGTAACAATTACAACAACAACAACGACTTAACTAAAACACGAACATTAGTCGTTAGTTAGCATTTCTTTGAATCACGTTGCGCGCTCGTAACCGTTGGCAGCGATAACCAAAACTCAACTGAAGCAGCCAGGCCAGCCAGAAAGGATATACGCCAAGGCAGACAACAACTACAGTTATGCGTGGTGAGTTCTTCATAAGCTTCGTTTGCCTTTGAGTGTGGGTGGTGGACTCGGTTCGGTTCGGCTCGTTGCTGGTTGCTGGTTGTTCGGTCGGCTATGCCGTGCAAAATAATTCGGAGTTTGTCGAATTGAGCGAATTCCTGCGGGGAACAAAGTAAATAAGCGGCAACAGTCAGCTGTTCATAGGAACTCTGAACTCTGGGCAGTAATATAGTGCTAAGTAGGAATGTAAGTTTTTGAACATGAACACCAAAGCAGCTCAATGAATTTTATTAAGATGTAAGAAGTTCTTTTATAAATTTAAAAATCAATTGTATGCATATGCTAATTAAAATAATTTATTGCTTCATTTTCTTTGTTAATTTATTTAAATTAGTTTTTATATACTTTTTTATTTATATCATTTCAATTTGAAATCATAATATTTATTATATAATTGTTATTTTTTCCTGTTTGTCGTTTTGTTGAACATTTTATTACTTTTCTGATATTTAAATTGTTGTTCTGCAAGAAATTATTATATATAGTACTAAACATTTATATTGACTTCATGACACAATCATTAAAAATATGACAACACCTTCAGAAAATTAAAAAAAAAATTAAAAACGTTTGCCAGCTGATATACGAAAATGTATTATATGTGTATACATATTTTAAATTAATATATATTTCATTTATATTAGGTATGCCATATCTATATAGATAATACAATTTGTATTAATAAGCTTCAATTCTTCGATAAAAAACCCTAAAATGCAATCATTAAACAGGCTTATTCATAATATTTAATAAGCCCCCATTAATTGTGTTCTGTTATCAAAGCCAGCATTGCAAAAACATTTGTTGCTGAATGTGCCGGCTATTTATGTTGAGCCTGCGCAGTAGCATTGTTCAATTTTTCGGAGTTACAAAATTCCTACGCTCTTTTCTAGTAGCACTCAGATGAGAGTGTTCTAAGTACAAGAGAGCAGAGCGCCCAGAGCTAATCAGAAAAGTAGCGAGTACATTCAAAAATGCAAGAAACCGTTGAATGCCGAAGCTTATCGCAAATAGTAAGGAAAAAACAACCTAATAAAAATGTTTTTATTTTATATGCTAGCATGTATCAGATTGAAATTACTTCCAAAAAAAGTTTTCAAGGAACTACCTAGTACCAAATGAGGTATGTATAGATGTATGTGTGAATAATATCTATTCGAAACTGGCTTTGTTATTAATTTAGTTATTCTTTTTTTTACCATCTACCTAAATCAAAGCAACATAATTTGACAACAATTTTTGGTCAACTGGAAAGCATAAAGGAATGTACATATATATGTAGGTTGTTACATTTATTTATTTAATGCAGCCGCCATCCATTCAACTTTGCCATTTCAGGCTATTTGGTTTTTAGTTCAAAGTAAAATATGTGCTTCAATTTTATGCAGATCTTAAGAGCTCGTACGATGAACTTATAACCAAATGCGCTTAATTCTACCAATTTGTTTAAATATATAGCATTTATAATAGAGATAATTATTGAACACTAAAACGATTTTATAATAGAGATAATTATTGAACACTAAAACGATTTTATTTCGATCATTCAAAAATCATAACATAACCAATTATTGAGTTCCAGTATGACCAAATCGGTATCTTATATATAGAATGAAATCAAAGGGATAAAAAATGCAATACAAATTCTGAACCCGTTTGGAATTTAACATTTCTAAGCCGCTTCTGAGTGCATACTTGATAAATGCAATTTTGTCTTCCGATTTCAGATTCGCAGTTGATTTCCAGTCGCCCAACCAGCCTATCAGAACATTTTGTGTGCCTTTGCCTAATATTCAAAGCTCAAACAAATAAATACTTCTTACATGTTCATGTACATAGGAAACTATATTCAGATCCATTCGAATAATTGTAGGTGAGGGAACTCCTAGTGAAAACAGGAACAGATTTTATCTACATGTTTTGAAAAAAACTTAAATCTTAAGATATTTTTGCAACAAAATTCGAATAAATGTAATGGTTTTCTCAATTTTAAATTATTATTATTTATCATATGCATGGACACACATGAAATCCAAATATAAAATATGAAAACGCTTGTGCATGCAAAAACCTAGCAAATGTAGTTTAATTTGTATTATTTCTTAGAGGGTACAAATCAATTTTGGAATTACTTGGATAAAAACTTCATTTTTTAGTTGAGACTCGTTTTCCCCCTTTTGGAGTTAAATTTTCACCTACACTGTGAAAGGCAACTTGTGTCCGAATTTAAGCTTATTGTAGAAAATATCTATAGTATATCATTAATCTAAAGAATAAATACGAGGCGCAGCAAACGTTTGAAACCTTCTTGACCCAGTTAATCACAAATAAAGATAATTAACGTCTTAGCAATTTACGCAATCACAATTAGCCCGCTGATCAATCTGTTCAGTTTTCATACTACACTGATTCTACACACTTTTGCCAGCAGCTGCATAAACAACAATTAAATTGTAACAAATTACATAGATACGTGTAGATATATTTCCAAAGAACTCACTTCTATTTACTGTATTTTTTCCAGCAATTATTTCCGATTATTGCAGCATTGGCGACCCGAACGTTGTCAAGCTTCAAATCCATGTTAATTGCTATTTTTCCATGCTCAACACCAAGCACAGGACCTCCCCCTTATACAGTGCGCATCCTTCTCTATGGCTTTAAAATCCTTGCAAGAAAAATAACAACCTGAGGTCAGAAACTGATTTTCCATTCATTTTACAGAAACAACAGAAGAAGCAAGCGGCAACAATAACAACAACAACAACAATGCCAATAGAAGCAGCAAAGCAACAACAACAATACTATCATTATTGCTGTTCGTCTAATATACTTGCTTGCTTCCTTTTTGCTTCTGCCAACATGTGGGGGCGGAGGGCCACAAGCAAGTTAGAAAAAGAAAATAAAAATTACACTGGCGACCCAGTAAGTAAGTTTTAGACGCCCTCATTCTTGGCCGCCCGACAAACGTAGAAGATAAACTGCAATCGAAGGACGTTGACTGAATGATAAATTACACTTGACAATAGCTGCCAACATGAGAGCGAGGAAATATATGTATGTGGGGAGGGGGCCTTAGTCCTCGCGCCATGTGTGCGTGTTAGAGATGAACATGAGAGCTGACTCTGAAAAATGGAAAGCCATGGAAAGCGAAATTCCGAACAATAAGATATAAATTCAAAATCCATTGAAAAAATAAATGGATTAATTTTTAATTTAATTTTAATCAAAAGTTTTATAGCTGTAAAGGAATATTAGTGGTAAGGATACGCAACTCATGATTACAAAAGCTATAATTTAAGGTGGATATCGTTATTCTGGTACTTTTATTCAGCTGTTAAGCCCTTTGTCTATATTTGAATTAATAATAAAATATTAAGACATAGGCTAAGGTGGTGATGACTGGCTTCTTGATGAGGTCTGCCAGATATTTCGTTTCACTCTTAAGAAATGACTCCTTCTCGAAAGACTCACGCCAAACAAAGTTGAAGAGATTTTGAGAAGGAAATGTTTTTGATTCTCCAGCCCAACAAGATGCTTAAATAAACAATAAAGGATAAACAGGGGAATAGAAAATGTTGACTTATTCATATTTTAGTGTACATTTAGCATTTTGAGTGAAAACAAAAATTACAAAATTTTACTTGAGATGAACTATAAAAATCAATTAATTAAAAACTTTTCAAAATTTTAAAATATTAATCATATAATAATGAATAAAAAATAATTCTTTTATAATAATGGTTTTGACGTAATTTGTAGCTTTTCTTTCTAATAAGGCCAACATATCTGAAAGCAGTTTCCGGTTGTTCTCTCTCTCTTCAGATTATTCTTTAGTTGCTATTAGTAATGCATTTTAAAGCATTAATATATG